AGCGCCGTTAGTGATTAGATTCCCCAGGATTTACGGGTTCAGAAGGAAGACCACCGACGCAATGGTCAGAGTTCTTTACAAAAACCTTAGAAGGAAGATATGATGTTCAACAAGTCTCTAAAGCGAGCAGAACCCACTGCGCTAATCTTGTACGCAACATGGAGATATAGATTTATTTGCACCCGTTCGAGTTACTCGGCTACCAACGGAATGACGTGTGATACAACTGAATACAGATGACGTACGGAACAAGAATATAGACTCTTGCTTCCCTCAACATTGGTGTGGACAGTCTTGAGTGATCATGAGGAAAATAGGGAAACGTAAGATTATTAGAGCTGTTCTGTAATATGGTCCCTTTTTTTTGAAAATGCGTTTAAGGAATGCAGAAGCTTCATTTATCTCCGGAAAGGTTTTGTTACTTCTGATGAAGATTTTGTTGCTTACTTTAATATTTAAATGTTGTTTGATTGTATTATAGTGGGGATCTAGCACTTCCAACATTATTTTTGTCCTCTTAGAAACGTCTCTTATGGTGGATTCCAGAATGCCTCGGCTGGCTACATCTTGTCGTCATATCTCCTCCCCATCAGAATTTTGAATACTAATAGAGCGCAGTTCTCCATGGAATTCGAAGACAGTCGTTCTAAGGCATTCTCAAGCATTCTTCACATGTATTCGCCCGTCAAAGTGGATCAGAGGACGATCTCACGCTTTGCGAACAGGGTTTTGCAGAGACAGCAGCGGTTCCTGCTGTTAATTAACGAACGATTGAGGTTTATACAAGACGTCGAATCGCAGATCTTATAGCGAGATAAACTCGCACGTCCACCCATACCGATCATGCCACTGTTTTCATTGCTTTCATATCCCGAACGAGATGGAAGGAAAATCTGACTGCGATGTTTTTGATGCCAATGGCGTCGAGTAAAAAGTACGAATCTATAAAATTCTATTAAGGATTCTCTGGTCCTATGTTTATTATTTGGTAACCATTCATGCTCACGATGACTACCACAATGGTTTATGGCTTCGGCGAGATCAGGTAGGGTTTATGGGTGTTGAACTGCGATAAAGAGCATAAGTTCACCGGCAAGATCAACGAAACAGAGTGAAAGTTCAACATTTCCACACGAAGCCAAGAAACTGTTGACATGCAATAAACCTTGTCGCAAGGTGAGATTCAGTCCACAAAGAGTGGTGACATATTAAGGTAAATTCATTGACAAACAAGTGATTTTACTACGATATACTGAAGACAAGGACGCGTATAGCGCGGTGGTCGGAGGTGCCCTGCAATACACATGGGATCGATCCCCGCAGCTCAGGCTCACCAAGCCTTCCATCCTTCCGTGTTTTGCAAATTGGTACCAGACTTGTCTGAGAGGATAGCAGCAATGACTTGATACATCGGTAAGTTACCTCGAGTCATTGTATAGGCCAGATATGGATTCAGTCAGCTCTAACCATGAAATCGAATGCATGACGCATCCCTCAGGGATTGATCAAAGCCGAGAACTTCTTCTCCTTTATCTATATCACTCCATTATCCATACTATTATGAAAATAAATGGATGATCTCTTAGTTCCTTCACAGAGAAATGATTCTGGTAATGTTGAAAAGAGAACTGTACTACCTTTACACCAATACACGTCTTAAAGATTTACCATCTTATCTTCTCAAGGTGTCAATAAGTGTAGGACATCGGTGTTCAAGTATAATCTCGCAAAAGTATAATATAACCTTATCTTCACAAGCAACAATCTTCCATCGTTGACATAAAGTATTGGAAAAAACATTTCTTTAAAAGAATAAGTGAAAGGAACATCTTTTCAATTCCAATACCCATAACAACGGTCCAAGTTATATCGATTGTTGTTATCAAGTTAACGATTCAGTCCAAAAAAGTATCAACAGACAACCTCTGTACAGTATGATAGATACGAACGAAGGAATTGATAGATGGTCATGTCGGACAATCTGTCCCAACACGTACGAGTGGAAATCCACTCACACAAAACTCGTCGCATAGGGTTAAAAGATCTCATTTTCGCAATTACTAGTAAGAGTCAAACTTTTTTGATCGACTCCGCTTTCACACGGAACGGTCACAGTTCCGAATTTACATCGAAAACGTTACTCTACTGACATTCTCTGGACACCATTAGTATTAATCTTAAAAGAAACACTACCGTTACAGGGATAAGGAAAGGAAGAGTAAGAGAGATAAGAATTTGGTAAGTACTACCAAATCAGACTGGTTGAACCGTAAAGCAGCACAGCACTTAGCTATTTACAATCTGTTAGTGATTTTAAGAGGCAATTCATCAACATGCATTAATGACTAAAGTATAAGTGAACGGTTTTATTTGCTATAATACTAACTAGGTAGTCAGACCTTTGGAAGCAGAGCGTGGGAATCAAATATCGGGTGTATGCCAGTATACTCATACGGGTGCGCGTGTAGCGCAGTGGCCGAAGGCGCCATGCAATGCACATAGTATGGATTCCCGCGTCCCAGGCTCACCGAGCCTTCCATCCATCCGAGGTCATGGAACTGGTACCAGACTTGTATGGGAGGATAGCAACAATGACTCAATACAGCGGCAGGCCATCGTAGGTCATTGTAAGGGCCAGATATACATTCAATTCAGCACATTCAGCAATGCTTAATGAAGTCATTGCGCATCCCTCGGGAATAGGTCAATGCCGAAAGCTTCATGCTTTTGTTCTTTTATACTCATACGGTCAGCAAGATGTCAGCCTACAACAGTCGTTAAGTCTTAAGAGATTGTCAACCTAATATGATGGAAAGTAGCTCAGTGTATTCAAGCACCACTCACACGTCTACGGTCTACTTTTAAATTCCCAACCCTCGACGTCAACGCAGCATCTAAGAGCTACCTAACTATTTTATGAAGTTAAAAACCCTTAGCTTTTGTACTGATTTCTTGCTACAGCTTCCAAGGAAATGCACTGGTCAAAACCACTATTCGCTGCCTCGGCGAACCCACAGACTGATTGTGAAACTGCAGTTGAACGCTACAATCTATGCCCTTTAGGGATGTCACTTCCTTTTGTTCGCATAAAACGAAATCTCTACTACGGTTTCAAACCCTCATTTTGACAATTGTAAAAATTCGGAAGCTGCATAGAAGTCCGTAAAGTAACGATAAAGTCAGAGATGGTAACTTACCAAAATTGAATTGGTTACAAAAATCAGGGAAACCCATACCTTGTTCTACACCTAGTGAAAACAAAGCCCGCTTCAGAGAATAGTCGGCTGTTTCTCCCAGAAGTTAGAAAACATAATTCGCTACGACATCAATCCAGCGGATCAAATAGTACGTTTATTTGACCTTCCTTGAAGAGTAAGCTGACATTATCCGCTAACATTTCTAATTCGGTGATTTTTGCGACTATACAAAATACTTTTATGCAGTCTTTATCACATTTCACTTGGTCCAAAGACTGTGCTTTACCGAGCGCTTTTACTGGCGGAATACCACAAAAACTAACCAATCGAGGGAATGAAATATATCTTATTAAACCATTTTATTACCTAAAGCTGCTGAAAACTCTGTATCCGACCACAAAGATGCTGTCGCAAAACTTGAACCTCGGCCCTGATCGAACCACGATTACCTCTTTTGGGGCCTCACGTACTACACACTGCACCATGGAGGCCCTTGTTCTGCTTTTTTCTCAGATAGCTTTCTACCTAACGTTGCCACCAGCAATTACCTGAATCCCTCAGCATCGTTTTGGTTGTATTTTACATGGTACCCTACCGTGAAAAAGTGTAGTATGCAGCAAATAAAAGGTTAACACTCTGTATTCAATCCAAATGGGTCGGCAAATGCCTCTGATGAAGGCCTGATAACGTTTTAACACGGCCTTTTGGTGACCCCAGTGAAATCACAATTAACAAACACATTCCTATTCAACACCAATGAGGAAAAAAGATTACACATCCTTAAGTGGGAGCCGAATACACTCAAGCACATGACTGGCTGCATGAGTTTCGGCTGGAAGATGAGGAACGCTTGAAGAAAAACACTACGTAAACACCTAAACTCAAGCTTAATAAATGTCGACAGAAGACTTTGCTAAAACACGCAACATCCTAACCCAGATGGCCATGTAGTGCCATCAGCTGTTCCTTTTACCGGAAATATCTCATAGTTGAAAGGGTTTAATTGCCCGTAGTGAAAAATTAAAATGAGACATTCAATTAAAACGAAATGAATCAAAAAGTGTACCCAATTATAAAAAAAGGATAAAGCTCCCTGAGTTAAATTCCTTAGGGTGCATCATGCATTCGACTTCATTAAGTATTGTTGGAGGTGACTGAATGCAGGTCTGGTCTTTACAATATCTTGCGGTGGCCTACCGATGTATCGAGCCAGTGATGCCATTCTCCCAGATAACTCTGATATCATTTTACCAACCTCGGAGTGGTGGAAGGCTTAGTGAGCTTGGGGCGCGGGGTTCGATCCAATGTGTATTGTAGAGCACCTCCGACCACTGCACTACACTCGTCCTTTACCTAACTAATGCTACAAATAATTTATGAGACTGCAACATAAGAGCAACAACTATCGTACCAGGGATGCCTTTCAATTGTTTCTTTCCAATGAAAAGTGTGGATCCAGAACTCTTGTTCCAACTTTTATTCTTCACTCTCATGTTTGAGAACAAGTAGCTCACAACAAATAATAAAGAACAAATACAGTGCAACATCCTATGATATCAACTACCTGGTACTTGATTATTTGTGTGCCTCAGAAAGCAATAGAACTCTTCTTCCATTCAAAAAGTCTAAGTTTCTAGATTTCGAAACTATTTTTGATGTTCTTTGCAATTAAAAACGAAAGCAGTAAAGTGGAAACAATTGGACTGTTAATGTACAGCAACATACTTTGAGATCCAACTAAGGAAAAGGCAGGGCTTACCTGTGAAATAAAAGAAGAGAGAAATGGAAACAATGTACACATAACTATTGGTGCCTGAGACTTTCGAGCTGATACTTGAATATCACGTCGTTTATGTCTTTCTGTAGTCGAAAAGCCAATTCTGATCGCTTTGCTTCCAATTCACGAGCAGTCTCCTCAATCATTCGACCTATAAATATCCTTAAAAGCAACACCATAGCGCCATTTATGCATAATCATATTACCTACGCCGAAATAACAATTAGTGATGCAAAGTGTTTCCACTGGTCAAATGATACAGAAAAAAGAAGAGGATGGAAGACTCACCCATCAGGGTCCATTTGTCTTCATGAGAGCGAACAGTGTGATCGGGAATGAAATCCCTGTATGCCGTCTTTGAACCATTTAGATTTAGATGAGGAGATGGACGTTGCAAGATATGTACAAGTTCGCTTTTTGCCTAGAAACGGAAGACGAACTCAACAACAACAGCAATAACAACGATAAAAATCGATTTTCACAAGAAGATGACACTGAAAAACAACTTGAACATACCGTAACTTGAGCTGTTGCACTGGGAGGAGTAGCAGAAAGAGAATGAAGCACGGTATCGAGAGAATCCTCACGGGGAGGAACCCAGGTAGATACAACCTGAATAACGAAACAATGCTAACACCACATATCTTACCATAATATAATCTAAAAGAACAATTAGGCTTCTAATGAAACGGACAACTCTGGGTAAAATAACCCGTGCTTTCGTACAACCTCAGTAGTAGTTCCAAGACCATCAAATTATTGTTTAGAACAATAGATACTGGCAGTTAAAGGATAAAAGATAAAGCTCTCGGCGTTGATCAATCCATGAGCAATGCGCCGTGCATTCGACCTCATTAAGTAACGTTCGTGGTGATTGAATGCATATCTGGCCTTTCGATGTATCGAGCCAGTGCTGGTATCCTCCTAGATAAATCTGGTACCAATTTAGCAACCCTGGAGGGATAGAGCGCTTGAACCTTAGGAGCGGGAATCGATCCCTTGTGTATTCCAGAGCGCCTCCGAACACAGCGCCACACGCACCCTATACTAGTAGTTACGCATAAAAATGGTATGTTAATATGTTTTTTCAACGCCTTTTGATTAGAAAAGCCGTGGTGAAAGTATTAAAAAATGTATCCCAATGCTTTTCTCAAGCTGACAACTGTTTAGTCTAGATAAAAAGAATGCTTACAATAGGCATTGGAAAACTTTCACCTGCTGTACATTAGGAGTGGAATCCTTCTGAATCGATACCTTGACAGTATTAGGTTCCAAAGACATTTTTGGTTTCCTTATTGTGTTGTTTTCCGCATCCTTTGGTTTCACTGATTCAGAAGGTTCCAAAGGAATTCTAGACTTTTTAATTGGATTGTTATCCACATCCTTCAGTTTTACCGATTCAGACCTTAAACGGACACATTAATCAACTGGGAAAGCAACTATCATATCTGACCAAGGAACAAAGATAACTAATAACACGTACACGAGTCCCAGAAATTTGCTAAATTGGTTCTGCACATCCACAGAAACATCTGTTGCACTCGTTGAGACCGGTGTCTGCTGGTTTTCTTCAACGAGTGTAACTCATGAACAAAAGATGAGGAAATTATGAATATGTGCTTCGATACCTCCACTTAAATCGTCAAATTTCCACGCTGACATCACTTCTGGAGACAGAAAAAGAAGACGATTGTAGTGCTCCCAATTACTGACTGCCCCTTGCTTTGATTTCTTCATTTGTTTGTTGAAACACTCGCGAAGAATGGACCACTTTCCGGAAACATGACCCTCTAAACAAAACATGGATATATTCAAGTAATCTCAGAAAAGTCCGAGATTGTTAGACAAAGGACTAGCAAGGACTGGACCTATAGCACACCGGAACACCTCCAAATTTTCCTTTTGATACTGAAACTCAATCATTGAGTTTTGAAGCTACAAAATATTTGTAAGAAAGTTGACCATTATGTGAAATGATGAATACGAGCTAACCATTGATGATAGCTCCGCCAGGCAGTGCACGAAGTTTGGCAGCGATTTCAACCAGATGCTCTTTGCGCTTGGCTGAATTTCTATAATCGGGATGATTATGATGCCACAATGCCGGCACGTCCTTTACGCATTCAATAAGCACACAGATCATCTCTGTTGACCAGACAACGTCTAGAAGGCATTGAAATTCACTGAATGTTACGAATTCTAGTCCCAAGTTCACAACTAGGAAGAAAACAACAGCTCACCAGATGCTGCAAATTGTGAGCTTTCCCTTGATAGCTCATCAGCTGTTAATTTAACACTATTTTCAAGAAGGGGTTCTACGATGTTGGCTAAAAATATAAAACATTTGTAAGTCTGTATTATACGTAATGACTTTCTATCTAATAAGTTACCAACTAACAGGAGAGAGTGAAAATAGACAAAGAAAAGCGTACTTTCGAGAATCTCCATTCCTTCTCCAGTCAAAGCCTCACCTTCAGCAACTTCTTGTTTAATTGTGATATCTTTACAAGCGGCATCCAAAGTAAGGGCTGAAAATGTACGGAAGACTGTCTACAATTTACAATTAAACGAAGACGAAACAAACATTGTTATTATAGACTAAACGCACATTGCTACTCCCAACAGTTTACCGCTTCATCGTGGCTGGGAGGTGTTCCTAGGTGTCGGGCTGTGATGTACACCGCGTAAATTCATCTCCCCAGCAAGACCTTCGAAACTGAAGAGTCCGCCTTTTCCATCAGGAAGCCCAGCTAGGAGTAAACTAATACCGGAATCCACCACCGTCCTGGTATCAAACTAGTCGCACGGTGGCAAATCTTCCTCTGATCCACAAAAACGGCGACTGCCTGTTGTGGTGAAGACCTCAGTGGAACTTTAGCCTGGCTGACATCAGGACTCCAGGAAACCACAATGGATAGCCCAGAAAAACTCCGAAAGAATGGAAATTATGCTGGGGCTGGCACAACCAGTGAGAACGGGAAAACCAAGTATCCAAGTAAATGTATATGCTTACGCTATCATTAATGTGTTGATGTCCTCACTGATGCACCCTACAGCTTGCAAAGTTAGTAAAAATATTCTTATTGTTCCATTCTTCATAGAATAGCGCAACTAGTTAAGTGCAACAACAGGTACCACTGGGTAGAATACCGGCGGACACTGGACCGACACCAACCTCCAGATTAACAGAACCGCTTCGATGCTATTTCTCCTAAGAGCTCTCATAATTTTTTGGTAACTGAGTACTTTCGAGCGTGAAAATTTCATATAATTATATAAGCGGCTTTGCCTTATCGATCCAAAGGTAAATGCGATTATTATAAAAACCCCACCTCACTCTACATATATTTAAAAATCAAATCATTAAAAACTTCAAAAGGATTTCTTTGTGATGCAAATGACTCTCATTGGCAATGGAGGATACAAGCGTTCCTTGTTGGACGAAGTTCAGTTTTCTCGATCGCTCACCACAAAATAGAACTCTAGACGAAAATCAAGGAAAAAAACGGTCTGTGATCACTAGAAACTTAGACGATGGCAAACCTATGTAGACTCCTACGGTCTCAAGTGAATTAGTAAGCATGAAATGAGTTATGCTTATTTACACCTTAACGGCTAAACTGTTTCCGTTATCCATGACTTGTGTGTGGCCTAGATTGTCGGAAATGTGTTGAATGTATTTCTTGTCTCTGAGGCCAAGAAATAAAAAGCGTTTGAAAAGTGTGAAACATTCATGTGATCAGTGTCCGACTCCATAACTCAGTTTGAATTATAGATTTAACTACACTACGAATATAGATTTTGGTTTCTAAAAGAAAATGACCGACTATGAGACCGCTTATCTTCATGGCGACTGACCAAAACCAGTAACTTTATTTTTCATCCTCTTACAGATTTTCTTACCGCACCATTTTAACAGAAAACCCGACCTTGTGGGGCTACAGACGACAGCCTTGTAACGGTAATCACACAAAATATATTTCTCATCACCTTTTTCTCCTGAGTCTAACTCGTCCCTTATCACATCCTTCGTGTTTGATACGTCGGAAATCCCTTCCTTATTTACTCCTTGCAAAAATGCCAAAGAACTTCTCCGACCTCGATTTCGCTTCGTCACCGTTTTTGGCCTAGCCGTTCCTTAACAAAGCAATACATGTACAATACTGGAATGTTTCAAAACAATTACTCTGATACACCAGAAATGCAAAGCTGCTTGGTGAAAACCCTAACCATTAAAAACAGGAAAATGTTCAGGGATCCCTACCTACATATAAATCTGATAAAGGGGACTTGTGATAAAGGACCATAACTGCTTGATACATTCCGGACCCTCTCTTGAATTTCCGACTGAGTTCGCGCTAAAAAAGAGAACATAAGAATCATTGATACCTATCATTTCATAATAGATACTACCTATCAAGAGCTTTCCGCCTCATCGTTGCTAGGAGGTGTTCCTAGGTGTCGAGCTGCGATGCACAGCGAGGGGATTCATTCCTCCGGTAGGGTCTCCCAAACGGAGAGGGAGTTCTGCGTTTTCATCAGGAGACTTAGCTAAGAGTAAACCAATACCAGGATCCACCACCATCCTGGTAGCAAACTAATTGCATGATGGCAAATGTCCCTCTGATCAACAAGAGAGACTTCTCGTGGTAGTGGCGACCTAGGGCAAACCTTGCTCAGGTCGACCTCGGGACTCCAGGGAACCACAATGGCTAACCCATCAAAACTCCGAAAGAATGGAAATTATGCTGTGCGCGACCAGCCAATGAGAACGGGCCGTTCAAATACCACCTAAGTAGGTAATGGATACTAACCTTTGCTTCAAAAACCTCCGCCTCAGTTGCTGCATAGCGGTTTGTCAAATCTATCAAAACCTCAGGTAGGAGTGAACTGAAACGATAGAAAGTACAATATGTAGGAGCAGGGAGAAGAATTGAACTCACTCTAGGTACTGGACACCGTTCATCACGGATTCATAATGGAATGCCATAGCTCCTTTGAAACGCCACTCAAACGAAGGTCTTTCCACCGCTCGTGCAAACATTTCCATCATCCAGCACCACTTTTCAAGAACAGCCCATTCTAAATAAAAAGGTATCTAAAAGACATTAATTAAAAGATTAGTTGTATTAACCCTTTTATTTACTGCCTTTTTCTTTTTAATGGCAGGGTATGTTACGAAATATAACTCATATATAATGCTGAGATATTTGCAAAACTCCGGACCGCAGGTGTATGCGGTGGGAAACGAACGCGCTATTGTCCTTACCGGTAAGTAGCGCACTTCACCACCACACCATCTGGGTCCTTCGTTTCGCCAATCTCTCAGTTAGTTCTCATTTTTATTTTCTCTAGTTTTCATTCTCGAAACGAATGACCCGCATCCTGTGGTGGTGAACGCGTTACTCCCCGGAAAGGACAATAGCGCGTTCGTTCCCCACCGCATACACCTGTGGTCCGGAGCTCTGGAAATATCTCAGTATTATATATTAGTTGTTTTCCTCAACGACGACAGAATTGCACCAACTAGAATACATCTTTTAACAGAATGTTTTTTTTCAAAGCTTTGTAAAATTTCGATGCATGTGGTCTATATTTATAGCAAATAAGTTAACAAATTAGACTTGCATTTAAAGTTGGTTTCTACAATTAATAGGGAGCTGGTAGCACATTGGTGATGATCCCGTACGTTACGCGGACGGCCCAACCTACCCAGGTTCTGGCTCGACACCGTTCCGGGCTCACCAAGCCTCTCATCCGTCGAGGGTCGGAAAACTGATACGAAACTTGTCCGGGACAAGGTTACCCACTCTAATACACGTAAGAGCGGCCCAGTACGGCTATCTCAGGGTGCCGAGCAGAATCGATTCGAAAAGCATTCAACGACGTTCGTGACAAAGACGAAAACATTTTCTGCCAGCAGCCAAAACCGCGCACGAAAAACAGTTCGAAGACTTTCGTGGATGAGTCATATGTGGAGATGACAGAATACAAGAAGTGCTGGAATCCCGACGATGTGACATAGTTTATGTAGGATCTTGCTATCAAATAAAATGACCACTAATTGAAAATCTTCTGTAAGACTGAGTCGACATCAAGTTGATATAAAACGTTTATCCGGCTAACGTTTCGGCGCCTTTGCCTTACTGAGAGCTGCGTTGGTTTGGTAACATCGAGTAGAATCGGGTGCAGAGAGCAGTTCGAGGGCATTGCATCCTGTAGCAGTCGATACTTCATCTGCTGGCTCCGATGCTTGGCAATCGGCACATCAAGATATTGACCCATTAAATGAGTACCTCACTGCTTCCCTATCAATTACAACCCGATCAAATAGTTTGTGCAATTATGCACTTTATGCAAACACAGTTATACAGTTTTTTACCAGTTTGTAAGTCTAGGAAATCTACCCTTCTCATGGGCGCGTGTGGCGCAGTGGCCGGAGGCGCCATGCAACACACACGTGGAATCGATCCCCACGCCCGTTGCTTACCAAGCCTTCCATCCATCCGGTGTCTTCGAATTGGTGCCAGACTTGTCTGGGAGGATAGCACAACCGGATACATCGGTGGCCACTGCGAGTCATTGCAAAGGCCAGATATGCATTCAATCACCTTCAAACGATGCTTAATGAAGTTGAATGCATGGCGCATCCTTCAAGGATTAATCAACGCCGAGAGCTTTACCCTTTATCTTTTTATCCTTCTCATTGGCGAGTCCTTACTGGGAACTTCCAAGATCATTACTCCATTCAAAGTAGGTCCTAAAAAGTGTTTATTGGGTCCTGGACCATAGCGCTGATTATGAAATTTCACACTATCACTTCGTAGTGCTATTGACTGTATTCCATAATGAAGAATTTGGATGAGAAGAAAAGCGGTAAGTTCAGCTAAAAGGAGCCAATTCTTCAACGATACAACGCGAAGAGCTGGTGGACCAAACACAAGAATCTCTAGTGAGACGTTCTTCTTCAACTGGGCTTCAGGACTAATTATTCTTCTAGTTATTAATAACCTAACCACTAATTATTCCATATTCTTAACTATTTTCTAAACAACCGATATTTCAAAGAAGATTACGTAAACAGACTCATTCTGCTGCTTCTTAATTTTTTATCACTTTTTATATTTTGGGAACAGCACAGTAAAAAGTAAAAAAGCAAATTGAATTATAGAAAACTACGTTTCGATGGGCTCACTCTAACCATTCATGCGTTTGTCTTGATTTGACAAAATCGTGGCGATGTCGCGGAAGAACAGCATCGACCTCTCCTGGGTGGATCGCAAACGGAAATCCCAAAGAGCACGCCGATCCTTCACAAGAGCCACCAAGATACCACGGAGCGTATCGTTCCACACCGGGCGTTCCTGAGTACAGCAACAATTTACAGAGAGAGATGGAAAGAGAGAGAGAGAGAGAGAGAGAGAAAGAGAGCAAAAGCAAAATGAATTACAGCAACGCTCTAAGAAGCGGCATCTCCCCTGTAATAGGGGAAAGTCTTACGTTCTACTCTTCTACGCCTCAGTGTCATCACTTCTAATGCGCACCTATAATAAAAAGTAGGATAGTAATAGGGATAACTTACAATATTCGAGGCTATCTCGAGAGATGTCCGTTTATATGGCTCGACCTTGCGACGAGACATGCTGAGCGTTTAGAAAGTATAATTCAACAACAACTGCTTCGGTGAATCGGCCGAAATTGGCCAGCAGGTTACCATCCCAAAAACTATCCAACTCGCAGAGAAAGCAGGTAAGAGGCACTGAAAAGGGTGACAAAATGTCAAAGAAGACCATCTCAAAAATGTAGCCATAAGAGAGTTAAGAAGACAAGAAACGTTGAAGAATCCACAGAAAAGAAGTACCACAACGATGATGGAGTTACTTTAATGGAGAGTCGTCAAAGAAAGATATAAGGAAGCATAAGAGGAAACGAAATATGAGACCAGTTCAAAAGTTTATGACACAGCGTGAAGAGGCAGAAGCGATGTTCCATTGAAATCACCGATGCGAAACGAAGATGTCAAAGGAAGGCCGGATCGTCGACGATTCGCGAATAGCACGCCAACATCGATCGATTGTAGGGGTGTGGCATCCCCGGCCACGCCCATCGACGGCCTGGCCCCGCCCCGTCGGGAAGAGTGAGTGGAAAGTGCGTGGCGCAGACACGGCGCTGGCCGTCGCACCGCCCCTATCGCCACACCCACGATTGACTCGGACAAAGAGTTCCGGGCCTGCCGGCATTGAGCGTAACGTTTTTCCCACAAGCGTTCTACGTTTCATTAGATGACCAGTTAGTCTAGTATCAAAGACATTGAATGATACATGCGTAATGCGGAATACCCAAAAAAAGCTTCACTTCAATTGAAAACCTTGGAAAAAACATAACACTTCCCATTGAAGCAGTAAATTTACCAAAAGATTGTAAGCGATGCGGCCGTAAGCATAAAGAATGCGCTGGCTTACTTTCACTGAAAACAATGATTCTCATCAATTTTCTCGGTCATTCCAGCATGCGAAGTGTTTGGAATATGAAGAAACACTCAGACAACGAGCTTGCAATTTGCTCCTATCAATTGGTTCATCGATTTTTCTCATGTGAGGAACTAAAGTTGGCGCGTTTACTTCTTTTACTAGAAATTCCGCTAATATGGACGGATTTAAGCGCCAGAAGCAACCGTGGCGGGAACAGTCGTATATTTCGAAACGAACTGGTACTACATAAAACTGCACAAAATGACTACGGTAGATTCAGCCTTACAGGGAGAGCATAACCTTGCTTGGTAACCCTGCAAGATAATCAAATGAAATTTGCATATGCAGTTTCATTCTTGTCTTATTTACTCAGTGTGTTGTAAAATCTTTCACAGTAGTAGGTTTTCCGCACACAGTTACTAAGACCTTTCGATACATAGTATGAGCACATTACCCTCTCTGAAAGCTCGAATTTGCTATGGTTTAAATCCCGCATATTTCGATGAGATCTGTGATCATTTCAACGACGAACTCTTCGTGGTTGTCATCGTTATTGATGCAGCTCATCAGAAACCAAGGTGCTAGTTCGACCCTCTCCCAATGCTCACGCGCTCCTCCAGCCCGCGTAGGAACGCCTTAACTCGGCTATCTCTGTAAAGAGAGTCGATTCAACCAAAATTCTAAGTTCAAAATCGATATTCATAAAGGAGATCAAAAATGTTCAAACGGCACGTGGAAAGAATTGTGGCAAGAGCCATCAGTTCAGGTCAATAGATCAAATGCAGTAATGGCGAGGACAAATCATGCATGATTTAATATTTTGATCGTATGGTGCCACGCTCCTGATCTATGCGGTGCGTATAACGCGGTGGTCAGCGGCTTCCTGCAATTCAAATGGAATCACTGCTGCTCCCCAGGCTCACCAAAGCTTCTATCCCTCCGGGTTCGAAAAATTGCTACCAGATGGTTTTCGGAGAGGATAGTAGCGCTCGATAGATCAGTAGGTCACCGCGAGTCGTTGTAAAGGTCAAATATGAACTCAATCGCCTCTAACAATGCTCGATGAGGTCGAATACGCAGCACATCACTCCTCAGGGATTGATCAATGCTGAATGCTTCTACGACTCTTTTTCTTGACAGTTCATTTTTTAGGAATGCAAAAAGAAAATATAACGCCAGTTTTCTTCCGCCGTGGTGCTGGCAATGGGTGAGGATGGAGCAATGTACAAATCGATAACTTGGTACAATTCGGAGAAAAGTTTTCGAAAACGGCTGAGAAAAGCCATATCAGAAATCTTAGCTTAAACCGGGTACTCGAGTGGAGACTGTTCGAACACACAGGATACGTCTTCATGGCACACCATTCCACAGATCTGAGTTGCGAAGCGCTGACCTTGGCCTGTGACCAAAGACTACTCAGCGATAATGGGATCTCCATGAGTTGCGACCGTTACCAATGCTATTGCGTGGCCATGTAAGGCTGTCTGGATTACTTCCAGACGCTAATCTTCATGCAGAAATATGAAATAATGAACAGTCCTTTATTACTTGACTTCTAAACTTTTATAACCGAAACTTGTTATTAGGATGCGTAAGGAGATGTCAAGAAACTGATACAACTGAAATAAGTCAATAGGAATCGCCTCAAAGAATTGACTCCAATGTACACCTCAAATGCTGCCAATTTAAGGAAGATAAACACAGGAAAGCATCAGGAACTCCTGAGTGGAAGACTCTCAAAGTCGTCGAGACGGATTACGAAAAGCCATACTTTTAACACGAGACAGTTCAGTCATTGATAACGTCGGTAATAATGTTGCAAAGAATGGTAGTCAAGTTCGGCATCATTGGAGTTATTGATATGAAATGAAACTGCCAGCAAAATATGGGAAGAAGGCTCTCATAATCAGCAAAACAAAGTGCTTTTGTAGGAGTTCTTGTAAGTACGATGACTTCTACGGAAATCGGTTTTAAACACTAGAAATGGAGTTTTCGATTGATAAGGAATTCACCGCCTTCTGTTCTGTCTATTCTTGCCTCCAATCGCGTAATCTTCAGCAACGACAAGAATGAAGTAGTCGCTTTTGCTGTCTGGAGAAGTTCTATAGAACATGCAAAACATTCAACGAAGATATTATCGATGGCTTTAGTGGCAAGATTTCTTTGGATTTTTTGCACCATTCGTAGAGAACCTCATGGCGATATCCCTCAACTAAGAAGTGAATAGGGGATGCTGTTTGAGATCGACTATCAACCAAGGATACGCATGAAGAAGTTTACTTAGGCACTTGGATGTAATGACTTCAAACGAGTATCGTTTCTAACAATTCTTCCATTCGTTTTCTTCTCTAATCTATAGAGGCGGTTGGATTTTGGTGTGGACACTAGTGCAATTTCTAGGATCTGCCATCTTTTATCATAATTAGCACACTGAATGATGACAACATGAAAACTTAGATTGCCCAAACAAGGGCGTTCTCCGGTCATCATCGCAAACAAATGGCGGATTTCATCGGTTTTATAGAATTTTCGTTCCTTATGGCACAGATTCCTAAAAGCCAGCAGTGATTCCTGAGGTGGCGGCAAATCCGGTCCACTGACAGCTCGAGAACGTTATAACCAACCAAGTCTTGGCAAATGGGAGGCTTAAGATTCTAGAAATCACCACAGCTCTCAGTGCACTATGAAGGAATCAGAGCTTCAGACCAGAATTCTATGAAAAGTGAACAGTGTTTTCAAGAATTCTCCACCAATGCCCGGAATTCTCTACGATATTTGCGTTCGGAATAATTCTCAACAGCGATCTGCATTTCTGAAGAAGTTTTAGGGAAAGGAAAGAAAAAGATGCATTGCTCCCTGGTCATTTTAACACAAAACGAACGATGCGAACGTACGGCCATATGTGGTGACCTGAGTGGTCGACGTGATCTCTCTAATAGTCAATTTCTTTCTGATGATTTATTTCTCTGTGCAGAACTCTTTTTGCCATATATCGTAATCATTTGATAGCTTATATTGAACGCAGAGCAACATAGAAGAGATCGGACTGAAAAAGCCACTCTCAGTACTTAATGCTTTGTAACGGACCTTTTTTTGGATAAGTTCATTGAGTGGTAATTTGACTAACAACTAATTGTTATTTCATTTTAATAACTATGATTACTGTGTGGAATATGTGGGTATAGAAATACCGAAATAGACAGCATAAGTTGCAAAACGCTTCCAAGTGCTGACAATAGTCTGTATGGTGGGCCATAGTGACATATAGTGTATAGCCGCATGCAAATCAATAATGCCCATAGAACGATAGAGTGAGGTCTCATCTACAGTCCTGTCGTATTAGCTACCCTTCAAGTTCTGCACCTACTGAAAATATCACTGTTTATTGTTGAAAGCATAGAAAACCCAGCAAATCCGTGAAAGACGAAACTGGGCGACGTCCAAGGCCGCTAGACGCCGCACATCCGTGATCTGTTGAAATGATACTATGCTTTCAATTCAGCTCTTGAAAATATAGTCCAAGTAGTTATAGAGACCTAAAATGAAATAAATTAAAGTTCCAAAACTTGGATTTGAAAGTACCAGGGATACTGGGACTACGAACAATACCAAACGCACCTATTAGCTGAGCGAACATATCGCCAACTTAGGCTGCAATTTTTCCAACCGTAACTCAAAAATGGTATCCATCCCCATCCTAATTACCAATTTTCCTACAGGACTAGCTATCACGTGTAATATTACACAGATTCCAGTGCTTCTTTTTTCGCTTTCTCATATTCGATATCTGGGGAACTCCAGATTTTACATATGGGTTGAACTGGTACCAATCTCACGAATTCGGAAAAATGAGAGGCTTCGTTGGTGTGGGACATGGTCGTACAATGACAGACATCACTACCCCTGCGCCGCCTGCGGCTCTGATATCGGTTGACTGATTGAAAAATTATGATAGAGATCTGCTGATCAACGCCTTCGTTCCCATTAATTTCAATATACGCTCAGTAATATTCATAATACACCGATTATACAGAATACGAACTCGGCATCACTAAAATATTTATGGAACTCCACTCGTTAACATCTTTGCTACCGTGCTCGCTTTTCAAGAACAAACGATAATTTGTCCATTAATGGGAAATGAAGGAATTAAGAACTTTACATGTAGTAT